AAGGCTAATCCAGAGCAAGGCCCTAACTCTCTTCAATTCTATGAAGGCTGAGAGAGGTGAGGAAGCTTCAGAAGAAAAGTCTGAAGCTAGCAGAGGTTGGTTCATGAGGTTTAAGGAAAGAGGCCATCTCTGTAACATAAGAGTGCAAGGTGGGGCAGCAAGTGATGATGTAGAAGCTGCAACAAGTTGCCCAGAAGATCCAGCTAAGATACTTCATGAAGGTGCTACACTAGACAACAGATTTTCAATGATGATGAAACAGCCTTCTATTGGAAGAAGCTGCCATCTAGGACTTTCCTAGTTAGAGAGGAGAAGTCAATGCCTGGCTTCAAAGCTTCAAAGGACAGGCTGACTCTCTTGTTAGAGGCTAATGCTGCTGGTGATTCTAAGCTGAAGCCAATGCTCATTTAGCATTCTGAAAACCCTTAAGGGCCCTTAAGGATTATGCTAAATCTACTCTGCCTGTGCTATATAAAGAGAACAGCAAATCCTGGGTGACAGCACGTCTGTTTACAACATGGTTTATTGGATATTTTAAGCACACTATCAAGACCTACTGCTCAGAGAAAAGATTCCTTTCAGGATATTACTGCTCATTGACAATCACTTGGTCACTCAAGAGCTCTGGTGGAGATGTACAATGAGATTAATGTTGTTTTCATGACTGCTAACACAACGTCCATTCTGCAGTCCATGGATCAAGGTGTAATTTCAACTTTGAAGTCTTATTAAGAAATACATTTCACAAGGCTATACCTGTCATAGATAGTGACTCCTTTGATGGATCTGGGAAAAGCAAATTGAAAACCTTCTAGAAAGGATTAACCATTCTCTATGCCATTAAGAACATTCAAGATTCATAAGAAAAGGTCAAAGTATCAACAGGAACAGGAGTTTGGAAGAAGTCGATTCCAACCTTCATGGGTGACTTTGAGGGGTTCAAGACTTCAGTGGGGGATGAAGTAACTGTAGATGTGGTGGAAACAGCAAGAGAACTAGAATTAGAAGTGGAGCCTGAAGAGGTGACTGAATTGCTGCAATCTCATGATAAAATTTTAATGGATGAAGAGTTGCTTCTTATGGATGAGCAAACAAAACAGTTTCTTGAGATGGACTCTACTCCTGGTGAAGATGCTGTGAAGATTATTGAAATGATAACAAAGGATTTAGAATATCACATAAGCTTAGTTGATAAAGCAGTGGCAAGGTTTGAGAGGATTGACTCCAATTTTGAAAGAACCTCTACTGTGGGTAAAATGCTATCAAACAGCATCATATGTTAGAGAGAAGTTGTCTGTGAAAGGAAGAGTCAATCAATGCTGCAAACTTCATCGTTGTCTTATTTTAAGAAATTGCCACAGTCACCCCAACCTTCAGCAACCTTCACCCTAATCAGTCAGCAGCCATCAACACCAAGGCAAGATCCTCTGCCAGCAAAAAGATTATGACTCTCTGAAGCCTCAGATGATGGTTAGCATTTTTTAGCAATATAGTATTTTTAAATTAAGGTATTTACATTATTTTTTAGACATAATGCTATGGCACACTTAATAGGCTACACTACAGTGTAAACATAACTTTTATATGCACTGGGAACCAAACAATTTGTGTGACTCGCTTTATTGAGGTGTTCACTTTATTGTGGTGGTTTGGAACTGAACCCACAGTATCTCCAAGGTCTGCCTGTATACTAAATAGTTTCTTGAGTAAGAGTAAATGGTAGGCAAAATTTTGATATTCTGCATGTCTGAAAATATCTTTTTACTACACACTCCATGAATAGTTTGGCTGGGCATAGAATTCTAGGCTGGAAATAATTTTCTCCCATAATTTTGAAAGTATTGCTCCACTGTCTTCTAATTTTAGGGTTACTAATGATAAATCCGATACAGTCCTGTTTCTTGACCCCTGGATGTGTTCTGCTCAGAAAGCATTTAAAGATCCCCTTGTTTGCCAGTGTTCTCATATTTCACTACCATATTTTCAGTGTGAAGTTTTTGTTCACAGTGCTGGACACTTGGTGGCCCTTTTGTTGTGGCCACTCTTGTCCTTCAGTTTTGGAGAGTTATAATGTAATAGTTCTGTGACAAAATCCTCCTCTTAGGTGCCCTGGACTCTTTTTGAGGTACTTCTGTTAGTTGGACATTTGATGTCCTGGAAGGGGCATCTAACTTTCCTATCTGTTCTGTCTTATTTTCCATCTGTTTTTTATTCTACTTTCTGGGAGATTTTCATGACTTTATCTCCCCTTCCATTTTCTTTTCTTTTTTTTTTTTTCCTGCTGTCATGTTTTTCACATCTAGGAATTTTTTTTCTAAGCCTGTACTTACTTATAACTGAGGCACTAAAAAGGATGGGTAAGCTCTGAATAAGTGGTTCAAGTTTATTGACTCGGGGCTCCACTTTAAGATAACTGGATGAAGACTCAGATATTTCACTAGTGGAAGCCAAAGTTTCAATATATAATTTTTTTTTCTTTTGGGCCAGCTAGCTTCCCCATAGCAACATCTTCTAATCTCTTCCCTTCTGGAAAGTAAGCTGGTCTGTCAGCATTCATTTAACAAGCTTTCACTTAATTCCCCTGCTTCTGTTTGCAGTAAAGCATCTTAGCTCCACGGTGAACTGGTCCAGTCTCTCTAGGGGTAAACCGCTAACACTGAACTGTTGAAGTATCTTTAGATGCTAATCCCACGGCTTCAGTAATGTATATACGAGGATGCAACTGCTGCCGTTTGAAAGGAGCAATGGATGCAGATTCAGACACAAGGGACTAGAGTCCTAGCTCTTCCTGGGCTTGTCTGGAGATCAAGTGACATAATGTATTAGAAACACTCTGCAAACTGAAAACACTTCACAAGTCTTCAGCATTATTAATAAAAGCTGTGACATCTGGGCAGGTATTCAAAACGTTATAGAGAGCCGCTTTCTTTCCCAGACTGTTCCACTTGAAATGAAAATTTAATTTAAATGAATCATGCAAAGATATTGACACAGCTAAATTTACTCCCAGCTGCTGGGGTTTTAAACTTTTCCCTGAGACTGTGAAATGCCAATTTAGTTGTCTTACCAGCCAAATGACAAAGCAATGTGGGCATCTCAGTGCCCTTTTAGAAAGAGTGTGGCTCTGGCTATAAGCAAATGAGATTGCTCTTGGTCTTGAAGCTTTGCATGCTCAGCAAACCAAGGCAGGTTTATTGGGTAAGAAAATGAATGGGTCAGCAGATGAAGCTTGCTTTTCAATCTAGTGCATCCTTAAAATAAATTTCTACAATATACAATGGAGGTTTAAAAGCCCTAAATTCTGGCCAATGGTTACAGAAAGGAAGAACAATGAATACATTTAATAATTATATTATTATTCCTATGTATAATAAATAAATTAATTGCATTTGGACAGGGGAATAATGTTTCTTGAATTAGTAGATTATATTTTGATTAATGAAACTATGATTGGATTATAAAGGTATTCTTGACTGTTTCAACTCTTTCATTTTATACTCTTTTTTGTTCAGAATAACACATAAACTGGAGTTTTAAGTAAAATAAAAATTAATCATTTCATTCCATTGTTACTACATGTGTAAAAGTTCAATAATTGATCACAATATATGTTACAGAACTAGTTCCATAAAATAAAATTCTAGATCTCTAAGCAAAACTGTCACATCAGCTTCTTCTCTGCCTTTCACTGGTCACCTGGGAGGAAGGCCTTGCCTTGCTTTGGCTGTGGATGTACGAATGCCTCTGGTCCAATGCTTTGCTGCAGGAGTAGTAATCTGTTTTCAAGTTCAATTAGAAATCCTGTTTTCACAGTTTAGTGGTTGATAATGAAAAGCTAGATCAGGAAAGTTCCTCCTATCGCTCTCTGTATCTGTCTTGTGCAATACGATAGCCAAGAGCAACATACGGCTGTTGAACACTTGATATACAGCTAGTGCTACTGAGGAACTGAATTTCTAAGTTTAAATAGCCACGTGTAGCCATTGGCGACTGTATTGGGCAGCACAACTCTGTATCATAAGGGATACATGCATAAGAAACTCCTCGGAGGGCTCACTTTCTAACAGAACAGCTGATATTCTAAGATGTTTTTTGATACAGAGTCCCTTTCAATATGCAGAAGTATCAAGGATCTGTACATGGAAGTGTTGTATTTTGAGAAAATATACAATAAAAAAGCTAATAAATTTAGTAAAGATTTTAAATAAATTTGAACTTTATTCATGACAACAGTATCTCCATTCTCCTGAGATCAAGTGGTCTACATATGTGTAAGATGTATTGTTGGTTCCATAGGTAGACAGGGCTTGGTGCCCAGATGGATGCAAGGAACCCATGGCTAACTTCTGCATTCACAGGTGGGAAAATGTTGTTCTAGAATAAAAAGATAAGAAATAAATTAAAGGATAACTGAAACATAAAAATAGTAAGGAGAAAAATTCATTAGAAGTATGGAAACACCTCATAACCAGTTAAAAAGTGCCAAAGAATGGCAGGCTATCAGTTATGGGCCCTGGCATTTTGTGTGCCCATCAGAGTGTGAGATGCCTCTTTTCATTATGGTGGTCATCATTTGGCTTCAGATCTTAAACTCCTACTACTTAGGGATCTTTTCCTTCAAGAAAACAAAGTTTACTTTATCTTTAGTGCCCTTTTAAAACCCAGAAATTTAAAAAGTAGAGACACCCAGTGGTGTATATTAGAAGTCATGCCCAATGGTCCATTTCCTTGTCAACAGCTGCAGAATAGCTTGATTTAAAAGTTAACATCTTCATTCAGGCATCAGATAAAGCAGACCTCCTTCAGGATATAACTGAACCACCTCCCTGCTTCTTCCCTTTGCTCCGTTCATGTTGGAGGTTCTGCATATCACAGCCGTGGGTAAAGGCTGAGGGAAGGTTGCGTAGGGGTTACCCTACCCCAGCCCACCCACATAAACCTACAATCTAAATGAAAACAATGTGCTTGTTACTATAGCATGAAGACAAGTCTCCTAGCACCTCAGATCGCCACTCCAAACCCCTTTGGTTTAGGAGTTGTGGATCTTCCACTGTTTGGCAGGAAGGGAAGAAACTTTAGATTGCATAATCGTCTTATCTGTAATTGAATACGACCTCCACAAGTATGGATGTAGAGAAAAATATATTTTGTGATTCTTAAACAACTTGCTCCCAGGATGGTTCTACTCCCAAAAGACACATGGATGGCAAAAAGAGAAGCATTCCTTTTAGTGCTGAAGCAAATCCTGAGTTATTGGAAAAAAATGAAAGGCTAAACAACCTATATCTTTTGAGTTAGCTTCAAATAATATGCTTATTTTTTCATATTCTCAAACAATGATGTATTCTGTATTCCCACCAGCTCTTAAAATAGGATAACTATTTCAAGTTATTGCTCTAGATAGCATTTAAAGCGATTCCACAGGTACTAAACCTTGACACTCTAAACAAATATGTTGTTCTTCAGAACAGTGGCGTGCATCTGGCTGGAGAATGTAATTGTTATGCAGGAAGCAATGCCTTGTTCTGCTCCATCCTTAATGATCAATTATGTTTCACCAAGTGACTCGTAAGACATCTTAGGTCATTCCAGGAGCAGCACACTGCTAACCTCTGCATGGCCTTGCTGGCACAGTTAATTACTCTGAATAATGTATGCTCCATCTACTGAAAATATATATTATTTTTCTGTTTGGGAGGGGGGGACACTTACCCAAATCCAAGTCTGCGCATTACGTTCCAGCTTCATTTTTAAAAACAAAACAAAACAGTAGCTCTACTGAGTAATGAAGCACAGAGATGGAAAACGACCCAGCAAGCTCTTTCAGGAGAAGATGCTACCATCCACCTGTTACACTGACATTCACCTGAATGAGGTTGGCAGCTGGGTTCCTTCTTTTCTCAAAGTGTTTCTGGCGGTGCTGTTCCTGTACTTTCAATGCAAAACCTGAGCCAAGAATGCCCTGGAACAAAATACAAAAATAGTACTTTAAAATTTTTTTCTAAAGCATTGTTAAATAATACAAACATTAAAAAAAACCTCTCAAATGAGTCTGAGAGAAGACAAACAGTATGCAACCTGCCCATAAACACATTACTTATTAAAACAAACACTGTTTCCCTCTATTGTAATACCATCGGCCAACGGCAAGTAGTCAGGCAAGAAATGCAACAACTTCTGTTGTTCAGTAAATCGACCAGACATCGCCTTTTATGGTCTCTTATGGTATAGTAAGAGGCACCATAATTACAAAGAAAAATCACAATTTTTAAAAATGATTTTTGTGTGGACTTTTCCGTGGTGTTTCTTTATGCCTAAGTTAGAGCGAATGGTCCTGTTTAGTGATGGAATTTAGAGGACATAAATTCTGGCTTTGGATTGAGGCTCACTGCTGTGGACATGGGAGTTTTTCTAGCACTTTGATGAAACTACTGTAATTCATATTTTCCATTTGTGAAATGGGCGGGGGGGTAGTATTTAAAATCTGTCCCGGCTCAATCCTCCATGACGCTGTAATTCAACGCCTACCAAAGTAAAAGGAAAGTAGAGAAGGACAGTCATCCAGATGAGACAGGCACTCAGTTTTGAAGACATAGATGGTTTTCCATTTTTCCTGTTTGTACAATAAAGACAAGACCATTCCTGTTTTCCTGCGTTTTAATCTCACACTTTTAGCGTTCCTTAGCTTTTCGGTTTTGGCTCACCTATTCAGACTTTGGGGTTAGTAAGATTAGTATCTCCCTCCTATGTTTATTTTAGTTTTTTGGCTGGTTTGCTTCGTTCAGCTTATCATCTTGATCTGCCACAATTCTGGCTCTTTGAAATGCCTCCCTCTTTTGCATTTGCTTTGGTCTAATATTTGTGGGAACAAGGTGCTTTGTCTCAGCCTTGGACTGGCTTTGGGAGCTTGCTACTTCAGTCTCTGGTGTTTGTAAGTCTCCACTTTACCCGCCTGGGATGCGGAGCTCCACTGCCGAGAAGTCTGTGGATTTTACTTACTAGCTATAAATTATTAACTTTTTATTAAACTTCAGGGAGTGTAGCGCTAGGTTACAGACAAGTTGTCTTATAAGCACTAAGTCAGTACAGTGAACCGTCCATAAGGCTGCAGGTTCGGCATCCATGGATTCAACCAATGATCCAGGGCTGTACAGAGGGCCAACTAAGGGATTGAGCATCCTCGGATTTGGGCATCCATGGATTTGGACATCCATGGGGGTCCTGGAACCAACCCTCGTGGATAACAAGAGACCACTGTATTTGCCATAGGTAAGCAATGGTTGTTTTTTTTTTCTTTATATTTTTAAAGTAGCTCAAAGATGGTATAGGCTGCCCGAGGGGATGACGCGTTTCTCTGTTAGGAGGTGTTAAGTCTCAGCTGGATGACAATTTGGCTAAGATATTTTTGGGCTTTAGATAACCTTTAACTTTCCTTCTTATCTTGAGATTCCATAATTCTGAGTACATCTGTGACAATAACCAGAAAATAAGTAATGCAATTATGTTTAAAATATGGTTATACGATAATACTATTTGCTATTAATGGATAAATGACTGTACTGTGAAATTACAAATTACGTCATAGGTTCTGTTTTCCATCTCTCCTTCTCAGTGAGTCTCATGTTGTCTAAGATCTTCATCTCACATAGGCTGTGATTTCACAAACTAAACTTTATGAAAACCTGGACTGTAGTACGATCTTGTTTATAGATTCAAACATTTCCTTCCATTTAGAAGTTATAAAAATGGTCCTCATGTCCAAATCCAGATCACCTCTAGTCATTCATAACGCCTAAATTTTTTTCTGCTATTTAAGATCATTTAGGAAAGATTTATTTATTTTTCTTTTAATGTCATTTTTCATGAATTATAAACATGTAAGAGAATCCAAAACATCAGAATTTATAGCATATATTTATCCTATATATTATGTGTGTATACATTATATGCATATATGTGTATAATCCACTTATATGGAGCATAATTCAGACTTTGTAGAGATTGAATTAATAGCAACAGCTACCATTTTTGAGCACTTATTATGTGAATATAAGGTTCAGAGTTAAATCCCTTTTAGAAAATGAAGATAGGCCCTACATAGCACAAACTTTGCACCTGCCAAACTAAAATGCGCTGAAAACCACGTTGGCATTGCTTAGATACACACACTAGCAGATGGCAAGTGTTTGCTACATGTCTCTTGCGCCAGACTGTGCATCACAAAGGTTATTAAACCAGGTCTGCTCATTGTCTCACTGTGGCTCCATTCCAATTTCCTTCCACCTCTCTTAGCACACAGCTCAGTCAACCCAAACAGAAGTCTGTTAAAATAAATCTATTCATGTTATATATATATATCTCACCTAAGTTACATATATAACTTACATAAGCGTATATAACTTACATGCCATCCCTTCAAATATTGACACCAATAGATGCAAATTCTTAGAAACTGAGATTTTTTAAATTTATTTTTTAAGATAACGTGACAAATTTTTAGGTTTTAAGTTTTACTGCTATGATGAGATGCACTACATAAACACCAAGTGGAAAGAACACGTTTTGGTAAACATTTTAAATATTTATCCCGTTACCTTCCAGATTAAATGAGCCTAATTTGCACCCCGCACATGGCACACAGGCTAGACTGAAAAATATCCTCAGCAGGAGGGAAGGGTACATTTGGAAGAGGAGAAAGCCTGCTCCTCAGCGTGGTGCGAGGGGCTAAGGCTGCCTCTGCGGGCTCGTTGTCCCCGGGACGCGGTGGGCTTGGAAAGGGTGGCCTGTGTGACTCTGTCACCTGCAGGGGAGTCCCGCTTTGAAGGGAAGGTGGGGAAGGTGCCTCTCTTCCTTGGTGCCCAGGTTTCCCGTTGGGAGGAACCCCAAACAAGGAGGCCCACCATCCACCTCTGACTTTCTCACAGAATGCCACTAGAATCTCAATCAGGCAGCACTGTGGGCCGCGGGTGCACAGGACACAATGGCGTTTCCAGCCACCTTGGAAGGTGTTTAAGAGTATATATGTTTAAGAGTATATATGGACCATCTAGCCCTTTATTCAATAAATAAGAACTCAGCAGCTAATGTGAGGTTGCAGTAAAAAGATCCATGGTAAAGCCTACTTTTCTTGGCATTGTTAGGGAATGTTCTATTCTGTGCAAGCAAGTTTTTCAGATTTCCAACATATATCAGTTTAATTTTCACATAAAAATTGTAATTACTTTATTGGGAAACATTTCCAAGAATGACTACTTAGTGTCTGACCTTTAGCCTAGCAGAGTGACGGAGTGTAGCCTCAATGACGGTGCAGAGTTTCATCGTGGAGACCGGTGTTTCCTGTGCGGGATGCGGCCAGCTCCCAGAGGCGGGACAACCCTCACACTAATGGGCCCCAGGTTGTTACACACTTTGAACACTTTGTCCACTTGCTTCTTACAGATTTTCTGTTCCCTCCCTTGTTAGTCTTTCACTAGCTCTTCCTGCGTAGTGTTTGTTCTGTCAGCCTGCCTCTACATTTGCTGCTTATAATCTTCAAAGAAATTGTAATATTTTGAGCAACTGCCTTTAAAGAAACAAGCAGATAAAATGATTAGAAAGGCAAGCTTCATTAATTAAGGAGAAAATAATCAGAAGCTTGGGAGAAGGTAAATGTGCTCTTCATTCTGATAGGATGCATTAAGAAAAATCAATGATGATGACACAAGAATAAATCATTTGACAGGTCATATGCTTTTCACTCGAATGGATATGAAGAGGTAAACATTCCACTTGTGCACATCTGTCTCTTCAGTATCACACACTGTAAACCAAATTGGAGTGATCCGTTTAAAAAGAAGATATCTTCAAATCTTTACAAATATTTTAAATGTATCAGTAGCATGCTGACTGCGAGGTGATGCCATCTGAATTATTATTTGATCATAAAGACCCAGTTGGTGTAAAACTCTCAGGTTAAGCATCTCCACGGGAAGACCATATTTTACAAATTATACAACTAGATATAAGTAAAAAAGTCAACGTTATATCAGAAAAATTATATTTGTAAACAATATAGATATGTTCCTGGACATATCAATTTGTGAAAGCTCACACTAATAAACTTCTAAGATCTAATTTAAGCTGCTTCATTTATGCAAAGATACTCACGGCAGGAAGTGCAAAGAAAGAAATGCCGAGGAGTGCGAAGCCTGCGGAGAGCAATCTTCCCAGCCAAGTTAGGGGCGTCTTGTCTCCATAGCCAATCGTTGTCAATGTGATCTAAAAACAAAATAAATAGAACATGCAGCTTCAGCACTTGAGTGGAGAGCGAGGGCCGACGCACAGGAGGCAGAGCAGCGCCCCCACTAAATCACTATTCAACAAGTCCAGTTGGCGCATTCATTACTGTGCTTTAATTTTCCATGACGCATAACAGAACTTCTCTTTGTTTAAGGAAGGGAATAACCTACATACTTGTTCCTCCCTTATAACACAATTTTCCATCTTTTCTAAGTGTGTTCAAAGAAAGGTTATTTAAGTAAGTGGATAACCATCAGTGATACAGAAATGATAGCACTGTGGATTTAGGACTGGGTCAGTACACAAAACAATAATTTATGCTAATCAAGGCTGTCCATCTATTACCTTGGCAGGCACTTCCTGAAGGTCTGCTGTGTGCGAGGTACATGTTAAGATTTGTAGTGGAACAAAAATGAGAGGTACATAGTTCTTGTCCTGAGATATTTATGGCATAAGCGGGGAGGCACGTCACACACAAATCATTAAAACACAAAATAGGGCAAGACAGGTATTCTGATGGATCCACAAATAATCTGCTATGGGAATTTAAAGACTACATTGACTATTACCAGCTTGGGAGTCGAGGAGGCTTTACTGGGGAGATGTCGGCATACCGAGGCTTTGAAGGAGGGGTAATATTTTGAGAGGCAGAAATAATAAAGAGGGTGATGTAAGGAGGGGAAACAGGTGACCAGCTTCACAGCAGTGAGAACAAATAGGGTAGGTTCTGGAAAGTATAAGTTGTTCAGCTGGGCTGGAGCACGGCAGGTCTGAAGATTAATGGAAGAGGAGGTTAACTAGATATGCTAAAGCTTGATCAGCAGTGTCTTTGAAAAACGATAATTGGATCATGTCTCTCCCACCGTCGAACTGCTCCAGGGCCTTCCCAGCTCCTCTCCAGGACCCACGAAACCCTTCATGTCCTGCAGAACAATGGGACAACTGAATTGGAACAGTGGCAATGGGACGGTATGGGAGCGGGGAGCAAAAAGACATGTTCAGGAAGTTCAATAGAAACGAATTTATCGATTGTCTGGGATGAAGGGGAGGATTAAGTCAACAATGACTTGAAAATTTCAAGGGGAAGACAGTTGCATCATAAAGAAAAATATGATCGTGAGAAAGAGAAGGTTTTGGAGCAAAGATGAAGAGTTTGGTTTTGCAAATGAGGCTTTTTCAAATGTCAGTGTGACTCTGATCTAGAACTGTCAAGCAGGAAATTGAGAACCAGAGCTGGAGTCTTGAGAGACATCGGACTTCACATGGAGTTCGGGTTTTGGAATCAGGCACAGGGTGATTGTTGGAGGTTTGTGAATAAATGAGATTGCAAAGGGTGCAGAGAAGGGGTCCAAGGACGCCTCAGGAAACACAGACATTTAAGGGATGGAAGGAAAAGGAATGTCAGAGAAGAATACATTTTTTAAAAAGGGAAGTAGGAAGGGTTATATAAATGGAAACTCAAAGGAGAAGAGAGAGTTTCACAAAGGTCCAGGTGGTCCCTCATGGCACAGGCTCATATAAAACAAGGGAAATGAGGACTGAGGAAAGGTGCTGGCTGGGAGAGAGGTGCTCCCTGGCGACTTCTGTGAAAGTGGGCATGTCATCTTCCCTGATTATCGTCGAAGGAGGGCGACGAATGATGGGGGAGAGGAACTCCACAGCGCAGACCTTCGAGAGCATTCGTCGCAGCAGACCACCCTTCCTGGAGGTTCCTCTCCTCACTTGCGTGGCTCCCCTCTGCATCTGTGGTGGCTCCTCTCACTCTGATCAACCTCTACATAGTGGATTCTTAACGTTTGGTTCTGGGTCTTCTCCTATCTGTAAAAATTATCTTCTCTCCCCTTTTCTCTCTCTTCCCAGGTGATCTTAAATGTTCTCGTGGATTTAAATACCACTTTATGCTGAACACATGTTTACACCCGGGGCCAGAGCACACTCTGAGCTCCGCACTCACGAGTCTTCAGCTGATACTTCCATTTGGATGCTGCTCAGTTGTTTGTTTAAAACAGAACCTCATTTCCCTCAACTTTCCCTCCCCCATGGATCCCCTCCCGTCAGGAGCCTCGGCATCACCCCAGCTCTTCTCTTCCTCCCGCCCTTCAGTGCGTCTGTCAGCAGGTCCCCTGGATGCTGTCTCCCAGAGATACTGCGAATCCCCCTCTCTGTCTTCTCCCCACGCGGTGGCCCAGGCGCTGCGGCAGCCTCTGAATCGCTCTCTCTGGTCTGCTCTTGCCTCTTTCCAGTTTCTTCTCCAACCTGCAAGGGGTGTCATTTCCTTACTCCTCCAAAAGTCCTTCAGAGGCTACTCACTGAATTCAGAATAAAGTCTAAGCTCCTACCTGTGGCCTGCATGCCCTGTATCTGCCTGCCTCTGCAAGACCATCCTGATTTCACCCTCGCTTACTCCGCTTTAACTATAGTGTTCTTCAGCCCCTCAAACAGGCCAGGCTATTTCTGCCTCAGGGCCTTTGCACATCCTGTTTCCACAGCACGGATTGCTCTTTTCCCCATTCTTGCCAGGGCTCCTTCTCATCCTTCCGGTCTTACCCAAAATAGCCCATCATCAGAGAGCCCTTCCCTACCCACTCTGTCCACAGTGGGGCCTCTGCTCACTCTATTTCAGCTCCTGGCTCCTTAACAGCACTTACTAGAAGTGGTAGTTTGCTCTGTGTTTCTTTGGGTGGGGGGATGGTCTTTATTTCCTTTCATGGAAGGAGGAATCACGTCTTTACTCTTTATTTCCTCTCTAACATCTAGCATGATGCTAGCCACAAAGTAGGAGGAACTCAATAAATATTTAGTAAATAAATGAGGAATCCTCTCAGGAACACGGTGACAGAGGGAGTGAAGACACAGAGCAAGAACTCCCAGAAGTCTGACCTGAGGGGAGGATTCCAAGGGTGCGTCTGTGCACCTGTGCAGAGAGGTGAGCCTGGAGAGGGATGGGCGGTGGCTTTATGACGGGGTCAGGGACCCAGGGAGGCAGGGGAAGGAGGGTCAAGGGTCAAGGGTCAGCCTTGGCAGTTGGGAAGTACAGTTGTTCCACCACGGGGGACAGATGTGGACATGGTGTGCATGCAGGGCACGGTTGGGGGTGCTCAGCTCAGCACCCTCCAATTCCAGTGAAGGAGAGCGCGGCATCGCTAGGGACTGAAAGGCTTGGAAGAGACGGAAGGCTTGGGGCTGCGAGGCTGTGGGAGGGGTCGAGTACAAATCCGGAGAGGCCCTCTGGCAGAGGAGGCTCACGGAGGTCAGAGAGGACTGTGTAGCGGAACCCTGCAGCCAAGTTAATCAAACGTCACAAAGGATCAGGAGGGACTCTCAAAGGAACTCCCAGAGGCTGCAGAAGGAATATTCTTGGCTCATTTTTATCACAGGTTCCTACTCTTAAATATGTGTGAAAGATTTTAATCTACTCTACTTTTTCTGCAAAATAGCTTAATCCTTTAACAGCAGTTTATTAATAATAATAAACTGAAGAGAAATTTCATGGTTTGGTCACAGCAATAATGTTATATTTCACAGCACTAGGATACTGTATCCATAGACTATAAATCGCATTTTGATACTTAACGTTGATACTTTGGGCTTTTTTAATAAACGGGATTTCCTTTTTTCACCAAAGCATAGCACTTAGAAACACTCCATTTCAAGAAGGTTTCATTTCCCTATTTATTCTGAATACTTCCATGATTAGCAAGGTGTCCATTATGTGCAACATGGACAATTTTAACTAAAAGTATCCAGCCATATATTTCATTAAGGTCTTGATTAATATATAACAAAAGGTATAGTATTCTAAATTTATTTTATTGCACACTGGAAACCTCATATGTGTTCCTCTTATAAAGAATAGAAATAATAAGCTCTGTTGTTTGCTTTTCGTGTCTTTTTAGGCTTCAGACAGTTTCATTAATGAGTTAGTTAATATCAACAAACACACTGCGGACCAATAAGGCCTTTTTTATTCCTAGAAGAATGACATCTTCGAAGATTTTTGCTCTTATATTCAAGAATAGATTTAAAAAAAAAAAAATAGAGACATAATTAGGCCATTCAAGGAAACTGTTAAGTACAGGTTAAACTTCAGTCAAAATAGCACTTACTGAAATGGAAATCATTGAAAATATGTGGTTTGCCCCTGAAAGGCACAGATATGACCTTTGAAAGCCTTCTAAGTTGGCTATTCTGGCAGAAGAAACAATCTGGTGACTGAGTGAGAGGGATATTAAGAGTTTCCCACACACTGTGTAACACACAATACAGCAATTCTTATTAGTAATAAGGAGAGAAGGAAGATTAATGGAAGGAACGACAAGAGCTGCCAGGCTGTGTTCATCAACAGCTGCATCACAACGGGAAAAGGTGCACCTGAGTGTCTGAGTGGTTTAAATATGTCAGAATTATCAGAGAGAAGAAAAACTAAATTCAAATTATTGCTTTGAAGGCTGGGATCATAAAGTGCCTTCCCCTTGCTGGCTAGAAAAGCCTCCTATTTTCTCAGTTTACAGTTTTCCCACTGTGAGTCACAGATTTTCATTTGCTCTTTACATATCAAAAGTATTTTAAGAATGTCAGATGACTGCCCTCTTTTGGGTTTTCCACTCTCCTCCTTTCAAAATGTCCATTATTGCTTTTGGGGGTTGGAGGTGTTGGAAACCAAGTTATTAGGCCAACAGAATGCTTTGTTATCAATGGCAGAATCTTGCAGACATTTACTCTGATGATTTAAGAAAAAAAAATCCTAATCTTCAGCTGAGTACATTTCTGATTCTTATTCATTTTATTGCTGCTATGCAACCAACAAACATACCAAGTTCTGCTTGATGCAAACCCTGACAAATTCCTCTCCCTGACGAGAGTCCTAGTTCCCACTGACGAGCATGCAAGGAGCAGCAGAACAATGCAACTGGTAACTTAAATCTGTGCTGCACAGAGTTAACCGAACAAACAACCTATCAGTGTTTTAACCGCAGTTTGAGAAAATGGAATATTTTTATTTTGGCAACAATAGCACTCAGGAAACATCACTGATGATTTATAAGAGAACTTAACTTTGTTGGCCCAAAGAGATGCAGAAACTCTTTAAACTATTATAAATGCTGTCTATTTTCATATAACTCCCTTTTGGAACGTCTTAAGGAATAAAATAAAAAGAAATACAGTTTATACATTGCATAAAGCACTCTTCTATCCTGTGATATTCTTACTACAGCACATGTTTCAATGACTGTTTTATAAACTCTTTACCACATAGGGGGAATTTTGCTTCTATGGAAAACAACATGTTGTTTAGAGTACACCCCTCCAGTTATGGGATTCTGATTTTATGGGGCTCTGCACCTCTCATAGCCTTTGAGCTATTTTATGACCCTCTAAGGTGTAGATAACTGGTAGCATGTCTATAGACATGTAAATGAATTCTGTCTGGTGGAGGTTCAATTGACTTCCTTTTCACATGGAAGAAACCAGTTTTGCCTCTATTTGCACATTCATTTCAATATTCCTGATCTTTACGTGTTTCTATTCTTGAACTGGCTGTAACATCTTACTGGTTCCCTCATTAATACTGACAAAAAAATGAGCTCAATAAAATCGTTAGCATGTGTTTATTGTCTTTCTGTGTGAAAGTCATGACTTTATTTTTGTTTGGAAAAATTCCTTTAATAACAATATAAAAGAATAATAGGTTTTTGAGTGGCAAGTTTTGAAATTAGGTGTCTATAATCTATGATCACACAGATGGTCACTAGTCTTCTCTTTTTTACTTTTTGTACCATAATTGTACACTTCTAACTCTCACTCAGCTACCAGTCTTTCTTTTGTAACCTCAGATAAACTTTTTGATGAATGGCAAACCAGTGCAACAACTGGTAACTTAAATCTGTGCTCCACAAAGGTAAAACAAACAAACAAACCAGCCTATCAGCATTTTAACCACGTTGTAAAAAATGATATATTTTTATTTTGGCAACAATCTAGTATTCAAGAAATACTGCTGATGACTTATAAGAGAACTTCACTTTGTTGAACCACAGAGATGGGGAAACTCATTGGAGGATTATAAGTGGTGCATATTTTCTCACAACTCCCTTTTGGAAGTTAATATTTTTATTGAGATCATTCACAGGAATCATTACATTATATTAAAATGAAACATTTCACAACATCCAATAGATAAAAATGGATTTTTATACTTACTGTGCCCCACCAGAGAGCATCTGCATATGTAGAAAACTCTTTATTTGCATCCTTTTCCACCAGATAGACGAGGAAAGATGAAAAAATAAGAACCAAAAATCCTATGTACCAAGCTGTGATTAATTCCTAGATATAAAAGGAATGAAAAGATTTTTAGAATGAAAAAAATCTTTGAAAAAGGAAAAAAAACTATGCATGATTCCATTCATTATACTACTTCTTGGATATTTATGATGCCTTTTAAACAACCCTTTATACATCATGTACCAAAACTGCTTTAACCAGTTTCTGAAAAGACTAAGCTTGTTTATGAGAGGTTTATTAAATATTACAGCAATCAACAAAAAAGTTTAAAAAATCTTGTTTCATAACTCAGAAAGCAAGTCTCACCTTACTGTGAGCATAGACCACGGAGCCCAGCAGTTTCCAAGTGCCGCCCCGCCGGTCCATGCGCACCATGCGGAGGATCTGCAGGAAACGCAGACTGCGGAGCGCGGATGTGGCAAAGATGTTACCCTGAGTTTTTGCAGAAACAACTGCTATTGAAGCGATAAGGACAATGGTATCTGAAAGAAACAGGTTGAAACAGCCATGAGTAGCATGACTAGGAATTTTTATTTCTCAAAACAGTATTTCAAAAAGAATCACTTTGAGCTATTTGAGGTACAAATAACGGATCCTGAACCGCATCCTGGCATCGTGCTCCTTGGGCTCTGTGAGGACTGAAGAGTGAGAAGGCAGAGAAGGTGAGCTCCCTATTGTCTTAGTGCTGACCCCGCGGCTATTCTGTGCTTCACTTGTGCGATTTTAGACCACTTACTATTTAACCTGCAGAGAACTGGACAATGACCTTCAGAAAGTTCGGTGTTCGGGGGAGCCTGAGGGCTGCGGGGCAGCCTTCCATAATGTCTCTGGTGTTGTTAGCATTCCTGTCCAGCAGAAAGGAGCCTCTGCCTCAGCCCCAACGCGGAGGCTTCCTGGTTGATTCCACAGAGGCATCACAACCCGTCCATCTGTGAAAGTGCTCTTGGTGTAATCATGTCTCTTGTTTTCTTGGCAAAGAAGCTTGTGGCTCCTTTCTGCAAAAAATTCCCTTATGTTGTGGAGTCTGCACCTTCACATACTGTTTAACAAAGGCCTCAACCAAGCTGAATCCTCTAAGATCCCTGCATAGAGTACTCTTCATACCTGGCCAGTCAGTTACGTGTAAGTTTTGTACACAAATTAACTAATATTACATTTGTCACAATAGAACATGTAATTATATACACCGTGCATTGCATGTAAATGGATATTTAACATTTGACATATTGACATTTGGCTTAAAAAGTATCTGGCCTTTTGTAAGCTAAAAGGAGAAAAGGAGCAACTAATGAAAGCATAGAAAAAATAAAAGAGCACTTAGTGGCTCCAAGGGTAAATATCTGAGTGATGGGAAGTAGGCTTGAAGTGGGAGAAGTGAAGTGGGGGTGAAGGGCCTCCTATGGCAATTTAAAAATAAGTTAGCTAGACCTTAACATCCTCAAAATTCCCATCCTGCTCCAAGTGGGCTGTGCATGACTGGGGATCTACACTCCAAAGAGGAGTTCCACGTCAAGGGTGCTGCTGCATTTGTGATGTTTCTGTGACCCTCAGGATGAACTGCGGCATGAATGTGTCCTCATCATTCAGCTCAGTCCTTCCCCCTGCACTCAGAAAGTCTTGTCTCCTGCTCCAGACTGAGAATATCCTCTGAGTCACTCTCTAGGGCCCTTTTTGGGTCAGGACTTGGAGAGAGGAGGTCAGTGGTTGGCAGTACAAGGGTCAGCCCAAGGGCTTTTTCTAATCGGATCTGAATGATATGTGACTTTGTGGGTAGGTACGTAGCATCACAAATGCATCCTTGAGTTACTACTCTCTGCAGCTGTTGGAAATGAGAAGGAACTAAATATGTTGACACAGACCAGACATTATTTAAGTGAATAAAAGCCAGTTGCAAAGCAGTATGTACAATGTGGTCTTATTTTAAAAATATATATATAGTGTACAACTAGGAAAAATGTGAGAATATACACAGACTATTATCATTAATTATCTCTAGGGGTAGAGAGTTGGGGCGAGTATGTAGATAAAGGGGCATTTCACTTTCTAAGTTATTAATTTCTATATGTTGGAATTTTGTAACAGTGAATATGTCCTTTGAAATCAGAAAAAAAAAAAATCCTAAAAAAAAAAAAGAGTTAACTTGTAAAAACATCTCTTGATTTCCATCATTTGGAGGGATTTACTCCTGAGACAAGTGGTTTACAGACAAAGAGACATTGCTTATATGGCCCTGCTGGATATATATTTGTTTTTATTTCTCATTGTAATGCTGCTTCCTCCCATGTGTACAAAGGAAAGAAAAAGGTACAATACCCCATTTACTATGTCAAAATACTAGAAATAGTAGAAATAAGTAAATAGGGGTGCAGAAAATACAGCACTTAAAACTTACTGTGTGCCTGGCACTGTCTTTAATTCTGTCTTTTACAAACGTTGCATTACTTAATCCTCATAACCACCATGTTGATTAGGTAGTCTACAGATCCCATTTCACAGATGGAAAAAGAGGCACAAGAAGCATATATCATATTAGTTTTAAAAAATCAGCTATAGATCTCTTAGACTACAGCACAAAAAGTATGCTATGAGGTTAGCTCATTACAGAAAATCTAGAAAAACACTGCTGGTTTGAGACAATTTAAAAAATTATGCACACAGTGAATCATAATCTAAATGTTCGAAGTCACAAAATATGCAAAGGTAACCGCAGATTTGATGTAATACTCTCATTGTAATTCAGATCAGACAAGAAGGTCAGAGTTCAGTCAAATGAAATCATAGACGAGCGACCCCATGGCAAACAGTGGATGCAGCCCCAGAAATGCTCTGTTGGCTTCCAGTCATCCAGGGGAACTTTGCTGTCAGTACCGCCTAGAACACTTTCTAGGTTAACATTTTAGAAATTATGAGCAGTCTTTGCTTTTATTTTTATTTATGTATTTGTTATTTTTGTAGTTCATTGCTTTATAGAATGGAGGTTCCACAAGGTTGGACACTTGTATCCCAAGTACCTAGAACAGTGCTTGAAACATGGTAGGCACTCAACAAGTATTTATAAAATGAACTTAGATTAAAAAACACTTAAAAGTAGCTTGAGCTTTGTTCTCTTGCCATACCAGTGGCTTAATAACTGGAATATCAATCTAAAATACTCTTAAGTTAATCAAGGGATCACTTATATATTCAGCACTGAATTCTACTGCAACATAATGGTTCATAGCTAGCATCCACTAAAGTTTATAAAAAGCAAATTTCACTAAGAATGAATACTAATTCTTCTCAAACTCTTCCCAAAAAATAGAAGAGGAGGGAATACTTCCAAACTCATTAATGAGGCTAGCATTACCCTGATACCAATACCAGACAAGAACAACACAAGAAAAGAAAATTACAGGCCAATATCCCTGATGAACATAGATGCAAAAATCGTCAACAAAATCTTAGGAAACTGAATTCAATGATACATGAAAAGGGGGATTTACTTCAAGGATGCAAAGGTGGTTCAACATCTGCAAATCAATTAATGTGACACACCACATTACAAAATGAAGGATGAAAGTCATATGATCATCTCAATAGATGCAGAAAAAGCATTTGACAAAATTCAACATACTTTAATGATAAAATCTCTCAACAAAGTGGGTATAGAGAGAATGTACCTCAACATAATAAAGGCCATATATGACTAGCCCACAGCTAACATAATAGTCAATGGTGAAAAATTGAAAGCTATCCTTCTAAGATCAGGAACAAAATAAGGATGCCCACTGTCACCACCTTGATTCAACATAGTACTGGAAGTCCTAGCCATTAGGCAAGAAAAAGAAATGAAAGGCATCCAAATCAGAAAGGAAGAAGTAAAACTGTCACTATTTGTAGATGATGCTGTACCATATATATATATGTATATAAAACCTTAAAGACTCCACCAAAAAACTGTTGGAACTAATAAATTATTTAAGTAAAGTTGCAGGATGCAAAATCAGTATACAAAAATCAGTTGTGTTTCTATATACTAACATCTACCAGAAAGAGGATTTAAGAAAAAATCTCATTTACAAGGGCATGAAAATGAATAAAATATTTAGGAATAAATTTAACTAAGGAGGTGAAAGATCTGCTCAGTAAAAATTATAAAACATTGATGAAAGAAATTGAAGAAGACACAAATAAATGGAAAGATAATCCATGCTCATGGATTGGAAGAATTAATATTATTAAAATGTCTATTCTACCCAAAACAATCCACAGATTCAATGCAATCACTGTCAAAATTCCAATGGCATTTTTCACAGAAATAGAACAAACAACTCTAAATTTGTATGGAACCACAAAAGACCCCGAATACCCAAAGCAATCTTGAGAAAGAGCAAAACTAGAGGCATCATGCTTTCTGATTTAAAATTATATTACAAAGCTATAGTAATGAAAATAGTGTGGTCTTGGCATAAAATTAGACATATAGATCAATGGAACAGACTAGAAAGCCCAGAAAAGAACCTACACATATATAGTCAAATAATTAATGACAAAGGAGCCAAGAATATGCCATGGAGAAAGGACAGTCTCTTCAATAAATAGTGTTGGGTAAACTGCGCAGCCACATACAAAAGAATGAGACTAGCCCACTATCTTACACCATACACAAAAATCAACTCAAAATGGATTAAAGACTTGAATATAAGACCTGAAACCATAAAACTCCTAGAAGAAAACATAGGCAATAAGCTCCTTGACATTGGTCTTGGCAATAATTTTTTGGAGTTGACCCCAAAAGCAAAGGCAACAAAAGCAAAAATAAACAAGTGGGACTATGTCAAACTAAAAACCTCCTGCACAGCAAAGGAAACCACCAACAAAATGAAAAGGCAACCTATGGAATGGGAGAAAATATTTTCAAATCACATATCTGTTAAGGAGTTAATATCCAAAATATATAAATAACTCATACAACTTAATAGCAAAAAAATAAACAATCCAATTAAAAATTGGGCAAAGAAACTGAATAGACATTTTTCCAAAGAAGACATACAAATGGCCAAAAGGTACATGAAAAGGTACTCAACACCACTAATCATCAAGAAAATGCAAATCAAAACTACAATGAGATATCACCTCACACCTGTTAGAATGGCTATTATAAAAAAGACAAGCAATAACAAGTGTTGGCAAGGATGTAGAGAAAAGTTGTGCACTGTTGGTGGGAATGTAAATTGATGCAGCCACTATGGTAAACAGTATGGAGGTTCCTCAAAAACTTGAAAATAGAACTACCACATGATCTAGCAATCCCACTTCTGGGTATATATCCAAAGGTAATTAAATAGGATCTTGAAGAGATATGTGCACATCCATGTTCATTGCAGTGTTATTCTCAATAGCCAAGATATGGAAACAACTTAAGTGTCTGTCAATGGATGAATGGATAAAGAAGATAGGTATATACGTATGTATACACACACACACACAATGGAATATTGTT